TATATATTTAAGATTTCAAACTAAAATTATGGTTTGAGTGTGAATATATAGGTTAAAGGGGAGATCACCTACAATGGGAGCAAGTTGAACGAATTTGTACCCCAAAAAACATCAGCGTACATTAGCCAAAACGATGTCCACGTTGGAGAAATGACCGTTAAAGAAACCCTTGATTTCTCAGCCCGATGTCAAGGAGTTGGCACTAGATATGGTAACATTTTAATGTATCATCAAATAATCAATTATCATATGCTCTCATACTTTAGAGCAGTAACAATAATACTAATGTTAAAACTATATGATTTAGATCTATTGAGCGAGCTTGCGAGAAGGGAAAAGCAAGCTGGGATTTTACCCGAGGCTGAAGTTGACCTCTTTATGAAGGTTTTCATTTTCTCTTCTATTTTTCCCATTTGTAAATTTATTTTAACTATATGTTTTTGAGCTTTAAATGGTGCGTTATTCCTTGACACATTAAATACTTAGTGAAAGTTTTTAATATGTTCATAAAATTTTTAGAAAAATGTTGAAAAGATTTATAATTTATTAGTCACAGGAGATGAAAAGATCATAAGCTAATTAGACATTTGAATTGAAAAAATTTGAGAGACTAAACTTGTAATTTAATTTACATTCATTCATTGAAATTTACATCATTGGATGGTTTAGGCAATTGCAATGAAAGGAGTTGGAAGCAGTATGATTACTGACTACACCCTCAAGGTACGTGGATGCTTATACTTATTATATTTTTTATTTCCTATTAACTTATATTTTATTAATCAATTAATGAATAGACTAACTTATGTTTTATTAATCAATTTGTAGATATTAGGACTTGATATTTGTAAAGACACTATAGTTGGAGATGAGATGCAACGTGGCATATCGGGAGGTCAAAAGAAGCGAATAACTACAGGTAAATATCTTAACTGTTGAGTTATGTTCGTGTTTATAACTATTATAGCTATCGTTATTTCATTATATTCTACTTTTTATTCGGCACTTTAATTTTATTTTTCAACCAAATCATTTTTAATTAATAGATGATATAATTAATACCTTTAAAAAAAAGATGACATAATTAATAAGCACAACATTAAATATTATTATTATTATTATATTATGTATAGGTGAGATGATAGTGGGCCCCACGAAAACTCTATTTATGGGCGAGATATCAACGGGTCTAGACAGCTCCACGACGTATCAGATAGTGAAGTGTCTACAGCAGATCGTGCACCTCACGGAAGCTACGGTGGTCATGTCCTTACTGCAGCCCGCTCCCGAGACGTTCGATCTGTGTGATGACGTCATTCTCTTATCGGACGGTCAGATCGTGTATCAGGGCCCACGTGTACACGTACTCGATTTCTTCCGAAGCTGTGGATTCCAGTGCCCAGACAGGAAGGGGACCGCCGATTTCTTACAAGAGGTGAGAGAAAATAATCACATTATAAATTGAGCCAGGCCCATAACAATAAGCCCAATCTCATGTGTTCGGCCCACAGGTAACTTCCAAGAAGGACCAAGGGCAATATTGGGCGGACAAAAACGAGCCGTACCGCTACATAACGGTGGCAGAATTCGCCGGCCGATTCAAGCGGTTTCACGTCGGCGAGAAGCTCCAAAACAACATCTCGGTCCCGTACGACAAGTCGGCCGGGCACAGAGCCGCCCTCGTCTACGACCGCTACTCCGTCTCGAATCTGAAGCTTCTGAAGGCGTGCACAGAAAAAGAATGGCTCCTCATAAAGCGGAACTCCTTCGTCCATATCTTCAAGATGGTGCAACTCATAATAGTTGCCTTCGTCTCCTCCACCGTCTTTCTCAGGACCAAATTGCACCACAGGAACGAAGACGATGGCGGTATCTACATTGGGGCTTTGATTTTCGCCATGATCGTGAATATGTTCAATGGATTTGCAGAGCTCGCATTGACCATTGCGAGGCTGCCGGTGTTTTTCAAGCAGAGAGACCTTCTTTTTCACCCGGCTTGGACTTTTACTCTGCCCACTGTTCTTCTACGCCTTCCTATTTCTGTGCTTGAATCTACCGTGTGGATGGTCATGACTTATTACACCATTGGATTTGCACCTGAAGCTTCCAGGTAACCTCCGATCTAATTTTTGCCAATGTGTGTTTCTGTTTCATATATGTTTTACTCTTTTCCTCAATTTAGTCCTCTACGTTTTGATATTTTTCAATTATGCTCTTCTTTTTGTGGATGGTTAATGTGGTTGATAGTGAGTTTGCATGGCATAATACTTATTGTATTGTAATAATTTGGATAAGGAGTAAAGCCAGAATAAGGGGGGATACTTTTCTGTCGACTTCTTAGAGTTTTGTAGAAATGAGGAACTTTTCTCATTACAAATAGAGATAAGAAATTTTAGAAGTTTTATTTAATGGGGCAAAGAAAAAACGCAGGACTTTATCATCTAAATCCCAACTTTTATTTTGTAGTTTGTACTAGTTGGCTTTACACCCTAAAATTAGAAGAAATTCAGTTCAATACTACCATTTTTAAAAAAAAATTGTTTTGGGGTAATTATTTGTAATTTAGTTATATATTAAAATTTTAAAATGCAGGTTTTTCAAGCAATTCTTGTTGGTGTTTCTACTCCAACAGATGGCTTCTGCTTTGTTTAGGTTCATTGCTGGTTGCTGCAGGACCATGATAATTGCCAACACTGGAGGCTCTCTAACTCTCTTAATTGTGTTCATGCTTGGAGGTTTCATTCTTCCTCGAGGTGATTTTTCAATTCTTCTCTTTGATCAAATAGAGAAACATAAACCATTCTATGTTTTCCGTGCAACTAAAAAGGATAGAGTCGTGATATGAGTTGAATTCCTGAGAGGGTATGTGCTGCAACAGGTGAAATTCCCAAGTGGTGGATTTGGGGCTACTGGATTTCACCAATGACTTATGGTTACAATGCCATTAGTGTAAATGAAATGTTTGCTCCCCGATGGATGAACAGGCTGGTATGTCACTCTTAACACATCTTCTTCCAATTAGTTTGTTGTGCTAAAAATATGAATAAATGGTTAACTATACTGTGACTATCACTTTTGCACGCGGGTGCCCTGGGTATAGGGGAGTTTAGTAAAGCTCCGACTCCCACTTAAAAAAAGGAAAAGAAAAACTATCAACTTGATTGTTTGGGTCTAATGATGATTTAATATACATCAAAGGAGGAGGCCATGTGTTTGAATTATTGTAATGTCATTTCCTCCCTTGTGCTAATTTACAAGTCCTTGAGCGAGGGAGAGAGTTAAGAATATGAATAAATGATTAATTATACCTTAATCTATAAGCTTGGGTTTTGGGTTTAGTAGCGATTTCAAAAGTTATGCATATTGCAGGCTTCCGACAACAACACCCCGTTGGGTTTGGCTGTGCTCAAGAACTTTGATATTTTCCAAGAGAGAAACTGGTTTTGGATTGGAGCTGGAGCTCTTTTGGGATTCACAATCCTCTTCAATGTCCTTTTCACGTTTTCACTTATGTACTTAAATCGTAAGACTCAAAACATTTTTGTTCAAGATGTTGAGAGTGTTTTTTTTAGGTGACAAAATTTTGAATCTATGAAATCAACATGACAGCTTTTGGGAGGCCACAAACAATAGTATCTGTAGAACCAACAGAAGAGACGAAGGTTGAGCAAGAAGTAAAAGAACCAAATGTGAGAGAACCAGATTCAATGACTAGATCATTATCTTCTTCTGATGGGAACAACACAAGTATGAAGTGGAAAATATAAATGAGATTAATATTTTTTGTGCACATTCAGCTACCATCTTTTCCCCATCAATTTGCTCATTAAAAACAATCTACACATGAGAAATAACTAGTTGGCGAATTAGTGGAAGTTCTACTGGCAACAGTGTCAATCCCAAGAGCGGAATGGTTCTCCCATTCACTCCTCTTGCAATGTCCTTTGATAGTGTAAATTACTATGTTGACATGCCCTCTGTAAGCAGATTTTGGTCTATTTTTTCTGTACTTCGTCTAAGTTTTACGTTTATATTTTATCATTTAGTTAATCAACAGATCTCTGAGGTGAAATTTCATTATTGTAACAGGAAATGAAGAACCAAGGAGTCAAAGATGATAGACTCCAACTACTTCGTGAAGTAACTGGTGCCTTTAGGCCTGGTGTTCTAACTGCATTGATGGGAGTTAGTGGGGCTGGAAAGACAACTTTGATGGACGTTTTAGCTGGAAGGAAAACAGGTGGTTATATTGAAGGTGATATCAAAATCTCAGGATTTCCCAAGAAACAAGAAACTTTCGCTAGAATTTCTGGATATTGCGAACAAACTGACATCCACTCTCCTCAAGTTACTGTTCGAGAATCCTTAATTTACTCTGCTTCCCTAAGGCTCCCTAGAGAAGTTAGCACCAAAGAAAAAATGGTGAGAGTATCAGTTTATGTTAACTCTTCTGAATATATACAATGCAACTACGCAAAAGTTAGTTTCTTCTTTGTGGCAAAATTTTGCAGGTTTTTGTGGATGAAGTGATGGAACTGGTGGAGCTCAAGAATCTAAGTGATGCCGTTGTAGGGATTCCTGGAGTAACAGGGTTGTCTACAGAGCAGAGAAAGAGGTTAACAATTGCAGTGGAGCTTGTTGCTAATCCTTCAATAATTTTTATGGATGAACCAACTTCAGGTCTTGATGCAAGAGCAGCTGCAATTGTGATGAGAACGGTTAGAAATACAGTGGATACTGGTAGAACTGTTGTTTGCACAATTCACCAACCTAGCATTGATATATTCGAAGCCTTTGATGAGGTTAAGTTCTCTCCTCACATTTCTGCATTTGTCTATGTTTTAGTGTTTTGTGATACTGAAATGAGCAATTTTGGCCCAGCTACTTTTAATGAAAAGAGGAGGACAGGTGATCTACTTAGGACCTCTGGGTCGAAACTCTCAGAAGCTAATTGAATATTTTGAGGTACTTTCTGGAGTATTGATCCTATATGTTTTGACCATAACAGAGAATCAATCGACTTATTTTGGACTTAATCATCCATAGGCTGCTCCCGGAGTGCCAAAAATTAAAGAAAAGTACAATCCAGCAGCCTGGATGCTGGAGGTAAGCTCAATAGCAGCTGAACTTCAGCTTAAAATTGACTTTGCTGAACATTACAGGGCATCATCCTTATATCAGTGAGTCAAGATTCATGCAAATTGTAGAATTATTATTATAATCTTTTGTTTGTTTGTTTGAAGAGATATTAAAGTTACTTGTTTGAGCTGATAGATATGGCTAATGGCTAACAAACAGGCAAAATAAGGCATTAGTGAAAGAGTTAAGCACACCACCATCAGGATCAACAGACCTCTATTTTGCCACTCAATACTCTCAATCCACGTGGGGGCAGTTCAAATCCTGCTTGTGGAAGCAGTCATGGACCTACTGGAGAAGTCCTGATTATAACCTCGTTAGATTCCTTTTCACTTTGGTTGCTGCCCTTATGTTGGGAACCATTTTCTGGAAAGTTAGCTCCAAAATGTACGTGTGTTTCTAAAAACCACTTATTAGAATCATGTTTTTCTATTCATATTATTAACATTACTTTGGTATTCGTCATCCTAAACTTGGCTTAGGGAAGGCGCAAGTGATCTAAACGTGATTATTGGAGCAATGTATTCTTCTGTCTTGTTTATTGGAGTGAACAATTGCTCTACAGTACAGCCAGTAGTTGCTACCGAAAGAACCGTATTTTATCGAGAAAGGGCGGCGGGGATGTATTCTGCATTACCATATGCCCTTGCACAGGTATGTTTATGGCCTCCGATATATAATATAAATCTGTTTGGGATGCCTTCTGAAAACAGTATTTCCAAGTGAAACTCTTTTTTGTAAAATCTTTTGAGAGAAAATTAAAGAAATACTCCCTCTAATAGCACTCAAACTATTATTTTTTTTATCTATTTTTTGAATTTCTAAAACTACTTTTGATGATAAAAGTGATTTGAATTGATTAAAAGCACATTTTACCCCACTTTAAAACTTTAACCAATTTTTCCAAAAGTATTTTTAACCATCCATATGCACTGAAAAAGGCATGCCGAACACACACTTTCCCTGAACGAAGAAGTGATGATTATAAAACTCTTAACGCTTTTCCATTGCAGGTGATTATTGAAATACCATATGTGTTTTTCCAGACGGTTTATTATACACTTATTGTATATGCTATGGTTGACTTTCAATGGACAGCGGCAAAATATTTCTGGTTCTTCTTTATCAACTTCTTTACATTCCTTTACTTTACTTATTATGGTATGATGACAGTTTCTGTCACACCAAACCATCAAGTAGCCTCCATTTTGGCAGCCGCTTTCTATTTGCTCTTCAATCTTTTCTCCGGCTTCTTCATCCCAAGACCTGTGAGTATATTTTATAAATACAAATATCCATTTCGCTAAATATATATTTTAGTCTATAATGTTGGGGGCTTTTTCCAACTTAGTCTCTACTTTTTATAAAGTTTCAATTGAGTTCCTTAGGTTTTAACATTTTTCAATCACACCCTTTTTGTTTGTCAATGTCAAAATTGGTTGATGATAAATTTGCATGGCATTATACTTGGTAAGTTGGCAGAAAGTTAGGACAGAAACTAAGGTACCTAAAAGATGATACTTTCTAATACTGCTCCAAATTTCTAAAACAATTAGCAGAAATTTTGAGTTTTCCTCACTTGGATGGCCTAATTCTTGGTAATCATGCTATGTAAGCTTATGACTAGCTAACTTTAACATTCACCAAGATGTATAGTTAGAAAATGTCAAAACTCACAAGGGACTGAAACATTAAGAACTAGCATATATATTTAGTCTCTATGATCATGTAACTTATGAGAACGCAACTGCAATGAATGCATTCTAATGCTCTTGAAAATTTCAGAAAATCCCAAAATGGTGGATATGGTATTACTGGATCTGCCCAGTGGCGTGGACTGTATATGGGCTGATTGTGTCCCAATACAGGGATATAGAGACTCTTATCAAAGTGCCTGAAGCAGAGGACACAACAATCAAGTCCTATATAAAACACCATTATGGGTACCACCCTGATTTCATGGGTCCAGTGGCTGCAGTTTTGGTTGGCTTCACAGTCTTATTTGCCCTTATATTTGCACGCTGCATTAAGACCTTGAATTTCCAAACCAGATAGGTACCATACAAACCACCTACATTTGCTCTCTTATGGTCTGAATTAGTATTAGGAATTAGTTTATGGTGTTGTGATATAGCTAAAATAGGGACGATATGTTGTATGGTCATAACGAGTAAATGGGAAATAATCTTCTGATGAAAATGGTTGAGGGGTTGGGATTGTAAAAAGATGGTGCAATTTGAATGTGTGGGGATGGGAAGGAACCCATAAACCAAGTGTAGTGTATCACATACATAGTTTAAGTTTCAATTATCTGTAACTTTGGAAATTATTGATAAAATAATTTGAAGTTGGATGGTATTCTCTTGTGGTAATTTGCAATGCCCAGAGCTGTCTATGGTTGCCATTTTATTTCAAGTTTAGGGGCGCCTTTTGAACCAGGCAAAAATATGATTATTTTTTTTAGAAGTATTACCGTTCAAATAACGGAGTGTAAATGTTATAATATCTTAATCAACGATTTAATTGATTTATGAAAAATAAAAGTATATCAAATACACCAGAAGAGATGAACTTGTTCTCTAGCCGAGAATTCTTTACAATCTCAAGAAAAATTTCATCAATTATGCTCATTTACAATTCTTTTGACTCATTTTTGTACGAGCTTTGATAGAAATTTTGAAAACAACAATTTTATGTTTTTAGTGTTTTCAAATTCTGAATTTGAAATTTTAAAATGTAAATTTACATTGAGAAAGATAAAAACATTGATAAATATATTATATCATGTTATAAACTTATTTTATTTTTGTTAAAACTGAAAAATAAAAAATATAATATATTATGAAAATATATAATATTATAAAATAATAATTCTACAAAATTTACAACGTATATGTTAATAAATCAATTAACATTATTTTAGATTTAACTAAATATTTAGTTGATAACTAGTTTACGAATATACTACTAAATTCCTTGAACAATTTTTTAAATTGAGATTTAATTTTCAAATCTACTACCAAACACACAAAATTAAAATTCTACTCAACTTAATCTTACCTTCTTTTATCAAAAAGACATGTTAGTAAAAGATTCATTTTCTTCTTTCCCATTTATTATGCAAAACAGAAATTTAAAATTCATTTATGTATCTCATTCCAAATAAGACTGACACCAAAAAGAGACATCCCAAAAATATCTCCTATTATATTAAAATATAAAATAATTTAAGTTAAATATTTGATAAAAAACATTTATTTTAAATAATTAATTATTATAATTATACCTCCAAAGTTCCAAACATATGAAGTAATCAATCAATTTTAATATTTGTCACGGACGTAAAAGTCCTATTTAATAAACATTTTGTTTTAAAAAATTAAACTTAGAAACAATGCATCCATTTAACTTATATGTTCCTTTTATATTAACCTATAAAAGTAATTTAAGTTAAATATTTGATAAAGAAACATTTACTTTAAATAAACCTTTAAATAATTAATTATTATAACTATATCTCCAAATTCCAAACCATCAATTTTAATATTTGTCAAGGACAGGTAAGGTCCATTCAATAACCATTTTGTTTTTTCTTTATTTTTTATTTTTTAAAAAATTAAGCTTAGAAACACTATATTCACCTAGGTGTTTATTTGTCTTCTTATTTACTTTATAAAAACGTTTACAAAATTTAAGTTAAATTTTGAAAACTAAAAAGAATAGTTTTAAAATTTTGTTTTTACTCTCAGAATTTAGAGAAATAGTCAAACATAATTTTTCAAATCCTAAAAAATAAGGCTAAGCTAAATGTATGATTTTTTTTAGTAAAATAAATAAATGTATGTTTAGTCTCTAGTATTTGAATCATTCTTTTATTTTGCCTCTAAATACTATAAAAGTTTGCCAAACCGAGTATAGCTCAAATAGTTAAGGCACTTATCAACCATTCTTCGTGGCGGTTGTTTCAAGTTGTTGTAAGCTCGCATGATTAGGAATTTGTAGAGAGTTTGATCACATTGGCGGATCCTTTCAAGTATCACCTTGAATTTTATCTGGTTTCTTAGAACACAGCAACAACTTGGTTTAATAATTATTTTGTATTTTTTTTAAAATTAAACCTTGTAACGTTACGTCTACTATTTATTTGTCTTCATAGTCAAATTTTAAGAAGTAAAAAATATAGTTTTTGTTTTTTAAATTTAACTAAGAATTTAAATGTATTTTGAAGGAAGGTGAAAAAACATAAAAGAAATACTAGAAATCAAGTATAATTTTCAAAACCTAAAAACTAAGACTAATAAGTATAAACTAAGACTAATAAGTGTAAGTTTAGTCTCTTAATATTTGAATAATTTTTAATGTTGCATCTAATAAAAGTTGTTTTATTTAATTTTTCTACGTGATGATTTTTTCTTTAATAAATTTCTCATTTTCACGTAACATAAAATTTTACTGAAGAAATTATGACACTATATCAAAACATATTTTATCCCTATTATTTTAATGTAAATGACATAACATACTCTAAAATTAAAATTAACTCCACACTATAATTCACTCCCTTGAAATTGTAATATAGTTTTCATTTATTCCACAAAAACGGTTTAAAATATATAAAAATAAAAAAGTTATTACACAAAAAAACACAAAGGAAGAAAGAAAGCAAAATAAGGTGTGGAGGTGGGGGCCACTCAGCCCATTGTCTTACAACTTGAGATTTAAGACTTTAGAGAGAGAGAGAGTGTGAGGAAAAAACTCAAGGGTTTAGAGAGAGAGAGTAATCATTACGAGTGGGTCCCGCACGAGTATTAGCAACAAGTGGGGCCCACCAATGAATAATTGCCTCTCTCTCTAGATAGTGTGACTGTGACTCTCCAAATTTATTAATTTATTGCTTTTTTTTTTAATTTTAAAATTTCTATTTTTTAATTTTAAATTTTAAAAAAACCTCTCCTCACTCTCTCTCAGTACAGTAGTCACCAGTCACTCACTCCGTCCATGAAATTGAACCATATATATATATTTTTTAAATACTAATAGCAGAGAGAGAGAAAAAAAAACAAAAAAATAGAAAAAAAAAGCGATTGATCATTGATTGATTGATTCAGGTTCGTAAAATTTACGGAGAGAAGATCAGGGTTTCTTTTCTTCTTCCCCATTTCTCCATCCTCCGCCTTTAATCTCAGGTTTGCCCTCGATTCTTCTTCTTCTTCTTCTTCTTCTTCTTCAATTTTTCTGTTTGCGTCTGCGATGCCCTTTCATTTTTCTTTCCAACTTCACTCTGCTTTAATCTCGGGTATTTCTTCTTTTCATCGTTTTTCCTTTTCTGAATTGTTTTTTTTTTCCTCTTCTGGATTAGGTTGCTTCGTCGTCTCGGATATCCAGCTGCTATTCGGGGGGGTTTTTTGCTCTGCAGATTGAATTATGTAAATTCTGGTTTTCTTTTTGTTGTCTACTTGAACGGTATGCTGCCGATTCCCTCTCGAGTTTGATTGTTTTGAAGTTCACTTGGTTTATTTGCTGCTTTGGATTTAACGTCCGGATTCTTTTTTGGGGCAGGTCTTTTTCTTTGGGGGGTGCATGATTTTGGTGTTTGCTCAAGCGATTGCAGGTGTTGTTGAGATTTTGATGACGGAAGAGGAGTTTATTATATTTTACTTGGTTTGATACGGGCGCGTGCTTGTGCTCTTTGGTAGGAGGGGTACACAGCAGAATTGGTTCAAGCGGGTGGATGGAAAAAGAAGTCTTGGTTCCAATTAGGGACAATGTTGCGGATGAAGCCTTGATGTTTGACCACATAAATATGGAAATCAGAACTGAGGAGAATGAAATTGATATTCAGAAGGGTGATATCTATGCCCCCGCATCAGAGAAAGGTGAGGGAAGTAGCGTTGTATTTTGTAGAGAAGGAACTCTTGTGAAGAAAGAGTCCATTCGTCGTAATTCTAGATCCAGTGAACAGTGTCCCAAGTCCATGCTCGTGGTGACAGACAGTAAGATTGGGAAGAAAGGGAAATCCTGTCACGAAAAGAAACTTAGTAGACAAGACAGATTTGAGTTGGGCCAGTTGTTTCAGGGTGCTGTAAGCTCGCATGATTGGGAGCTTGCAGAGAGTTTGATCGCATTGGCAGATCCTCAGGCACTTAACGATGTCTTGTGTATCGCCTTGGATTCTATCTGGTTCTTGAGAACACAGCTAGGGTTCAATGGAATTACTGGGTTAATTAAGAATGTCATTGCAAGCGGAGCTCATGATTTTACAAGAGCAGCACTTAGGACCTCATTTCTGGCTTCGTGCGTCTCTGCCTGCCAGAGTCGAACAATGAGTCTTGCAGATACCGTGAATGTTATGGCACAGAGGTGAAACATAAGTTCTCATTACTACGAGTTTTTTTCATGGCAATCAAAGCAACTGCTTGCCTCTATTTCTCTCTTAGGAACAGATATTTACTGCCATCAGAAATATTTATTTGGAAAGTTCCCCAGCACCCCAACAGAAAAGGAAAGAAAAGAAAGAAAGAAAAAATGGATTGTTTGACGCAGGAAAAATGAGACAGTAAACCAGTAATAACTAACGCGTGCACAGTATAGGACTAATTAGATTTAGTGTATTATTGGATCTCTTAGTATATATTATATTTAATTTTTTTGGATAGGAAAAAAAAGCTTCCATCAACAGAGAATATAGTACAGAGAAAGGCCTGTCCAAATATCTGGCCAATTGGACAAACTGCACTTTTAACTATACCTCTCAATCATTAGTCATTATGTATAATTCTTAATAGTATTTTAGTGAATTGGTGATTCCATTTAATTCAGTAGTTCGGCTCCAATGTTCTTTTCAATCATGAATAAGTTAAAATGTTTCACAAATGCAAATGGCCACTTAATGTTTCATTGTGTTTCATGTTGAATCTTAAGCATGAACAATTTCAGTTTACCCTATGAGTCAACTAGTTGTGAGAAGTTAGAAAATATTGATATCTTTCATTTGGTTTCCTTGAATTAGCTTAACTCATAAGTAAGTATTGGTTCTGTTATATTGAGGTGCTCTTATGGTTTTTGACAAGGGCGAGAACATATTTCTTCTTTGTAGTTTAGTACAAATTGTATAATTCTCATCATTTATTCCTCAACTGTTTGATTAAATATAATGTTCCGGTATGTCTTTTAATTTAAATGTCTTTAATGTGGCAACAAGCCAATAATTTTTGCATGGCACGTTGGACAAATATTTTTTCTACATTTGACATTTCATTGATTTCAGGTTGCGGGAGCGTCTCCAAGAGTGCAATGGAGATGAGGTATTAAAAGCGGAGGCTGGTACTAAGGTTCAAAAGTTTACAGAGTGGGCTCTGAAATGCATAGGTTTTCATTCTGGTTGCCATGGAAACAAGGACAGAGTAACTCAGAGCTCAGCTACTGAGATCCAACTTCAGTTATCTGCTTTCAAAATGTTCCTAGATTTTGCTGGCGACCAACTTAGTGGAAAAGATTTCACAGAGGCCTTTGATGCTGCTTGTTTTCCACTCACTCTCTTTTCTAGTTCATTTGATCCTGGATGGGCAACTGGAATATCAGCAACGGCAATCCAAGGGTTATTATGTTTGTTGGTGGAGGGTGGTGCTGACAATGTTAACCAGTGCTTTCTTGAAGCTTCTCGCTTTGGAAGCACAGAACTTGTGCGCATTTTATTACAGGTACTGTGATTTGATGTTCATATTAGCTTCCTATTTGTTTGAGAAAGATCAGATTTGGTGGTTTTGATGTGAGAAATTCTGAAATTAGTTTCAGGTCCTCATCTAATAAATGGACATCTAAAGCTGTACCTTTGCAAAACCCACCACTAAGCCGATCATTTTCTTTCTATTATGAACCAAAAATCTGAGATCAAATCCATACTGAAATCCAGAAAGATTAAATCTTGAATGCTCTTGAAACCTTAAGACAAGAATATCTACGAAACCAATCAAGATCTTATGAACTTCCAGATTACTATACTATTTGAAGATTTGAAGCTGTTACTACAGAAATATATAGAAACTTTAAACTAATTATTTCAACCCCTAGTCACATCTAATATATGACATACATTTTGGCGTTTCGCTCTGTACTGGATGTTGCATCTGGTTCATGCATATGCATAGTGTTCCATGCCTTCATCTTTTTGATTACTAATATTGATACAGTCATTTCACACGGTTGATGTTCATGTATTTTACCAGCTTTAGCTTTAGTCAGTTGAGATTTTTCTTCTGAAAATGTGATGATTGCGTGTGGCCACTATCTGATGTATACAATGGCTTGTAAAAATGAATTGTGTAGGCAAGATAAAAACAATAAGCTACAAAGATAGTTGTGGAACAAAAAGGAATCTTTTATAACTTTTGTCTCATCTCTGACGTTCATGTCTCCTTTTGTTTCTCTTCTGATGTGTGGTCCGTGTCTGTAGATTGCCCAAAGGAACAGCTTGGACGTTGATGTTGACCTGGCTTTGGGTTTTGCTTCCCACTACTGTAAGATTGGCACAATGGAGTGCTTGGTGGAAGAAGGTAACGCCATAGCTTTTTTGGGTCCTCTGATGAGAGCAGCTGAAAGGGGTTGTTTGCCAGTTGTTGAGTGGTTTGTTAAGAGAGGTTGTCAGGACATGGAGCTCTGTTTGGCCCTCACAGCGGCAACCTCTAGCAGCCAAATTAATGTTGCTGCTTATCTTCTTCCCCATGTTCCCCAACATGTACTTGCTGCCCTCAGCATTGAAATTCTTAAGGCTGCTGGGGAACGGAGTAGCGGTTCTCTCGAGGGTGTGGAGTTTCTCCTTCATTCCAACTTTCTTGGTGATCCTTCTGCTACATATGCTGTTGCAGACAGTATCTCCAAGTCAAGCGACGAGTCTGTTGCGCCTGAGCTCAGGGCATTCCTTCAGGATCACTGGTCGGAGGCAGCCTACTTGGACGGGTTGAGACAAGGTCAAGAAAATTACTTGAATTTCCTGCGGATTTTGAGGTGGGGTGGATCTCCAATTTCCTTGAGGGACATTCCACAACCGCTGAGAGTTGCGATAGCTTACCTACCGCTGTATAGGGAATGTATAAAGGTGAACGGATACTTGTTTCCGCAAAAGCTGAGGGGGCAGCTGGTTGAAGCCGCTCAGAGGCTCGGAGGCAGTGTGTTGGAAGAGGTGAGCCAAGGCAGAGAGCTCTTGGCTGTTTTGGAGCATCATCTTCCTTCATTTTTGCTTCACAAGTTCAAGATTACTTAGCAAGACTTCTTGTTTTGCATCTTTCATTTCCCACCCGTTAAGAAGGTAAAAGAAACGAAGAACAAGAACGCAAACGCGGATGAGAAAGGTAGCAAGTGAAATGTGATCGATAAACAATTTTAACGGGATAGAGCGAAGCGTTTGCGGTTGTCTGCCTGGTTATTTTCGAGATAGGTGGTGCTGTTTTGAATGTTTCATCATATCTTATGTTAAGGCACGTGATGATGGTATGTTATGTAGGACGTGGTGCAGCCATTGTTAGAAGGTTCAATCTGAACGATGTGTACATTATTGGTATATATCATCTTTTGTTCTCCGCACTTGTGCATTAATGATAACGAGGAAACTTAATATCGTGTCGTCATTGAGTAACGCCAACATCCTCGGTTTCTTTCATTCTGTATGTAGTATATTTGATTCGATGGGCCTGAATTTCGTCGAAGCTGTTTCAAAGGTCAGGAAGAATGTTTTTGTTCTTTTATCTCCCGAGTTAATAATGTAATTCAAGGTTGTGATGGTTTCATTTTCCCAGATGCAGCAAACCCATTGTACTGGAAATGGATAGAAGAAAAATATAACTGTATATTTTGGAAAGGGGTGTCTAATATGTATAAAAATTTTGGGTGTAAGCTTTGTTTCTCTTAGACTATAAGTTTTGGCTAATTTAATAACAACATCAACCGTTAAGGTGGAGACCATAGTTCAACGGTAATTGACATATATCTCTAATCAAAAGGTTAGTTCGATCTCCCACTCTACATATTGTACTAAAAAAAATTATAATAATAACATCGACCTAAATTACAAATTTTTTCTAACTCATACTTTCAATTTTTCTAACTCATAATTTCAATCTGTTTTAGGCTAAGGAGTCCCTGTCAACTTAGTCGATTTCTAAACACTCTATCAGAAGTATAGGCACTTGATAAACATTTTATTTTTAGTTTTCTATTTATTAATTTTTAGTTTTCTATTTTTAAAAGTTATATTTAAAAGATTGATAACCATAAATTTAAAAACACTATTTGTTGCCCATGTATTTCTTGTTTTATTGTCTAGTTTTCGGATTTTTTTTAAATAATTATTTTTTAAAAACAAATGACAAATCTAGTGTAGGTTTCAAATTAATTATAAAACTAGGGTAGATAAATCGTGATTTGCCCAAAATCGCAGGCGATGRCTGCGATTTACAATGACCGCGATTTCACTAAAGTCGTAAAGTCRCAGCCATTGRCGGCGACTTCTGCCTGACGTGGCGTAAATGGAGCCACGTCTTTGCTGACGGGCCATTTGTCCTTTTCTTATTATTTTTTTATTTTGAATTTGGAAGTCGCAGCGCGACATTCCTTTGTTTTTTTTGTTAAATTTGGGAGGGGCAGCCATGGCCACTTCCCCCACTTCCTCTTTTATTTTTTAATTTTTTTTTTATATTTTGAATTTAAAAATTGTAGTGCTGCAACTTCCCACCAATATCATTTGCTTTTTTTTAATTTTATTTTTAAAAACCATAATTTAAGAAAAATACTATCATCTTAATTTTCTCCATATTTGGAAAGTAGTTCTTAATTACCTACCACATGATGGACATATTCCTATAATGTAATAATTTAAAACAAAATAATTGTAAAACTAATAAAACCCTAATTATACATATCCCAAAATTTGATTTTTGTCTTAAAGCCATGTATTTTTGTTTTATTAATTTAATAATTTTTTATCGATTTAGTTTATATTAAATTTAAATGTAATTTTATAGAACATACGAAGATGAAACACAAGAAGCTAAATAGACAGCCAGTTCCATCGTATTTGTCTATGTCAGGCATCGTCGAACTTTTCTGGAGATTTTTCCTCTGGAAAAATGGTCAATCCCTTCATGTTGAGCCCATGGTCTCTAGACCCTTTACTGACATTTTAATCATCGAATTGGTTTTAATATAAGTTTAAACYTTTAGACTTTAAATAAATTTTAATCAAAATTAAAAATAAAAAATAACAAAAAATAAAAAAGTTAATCACATCTTAATTAAATTTCGCAATATTAATAAAATAACAATATATAAATAAAATAAAACAAAAAAATAAAAAGGTGGAAGTCGCGTACAATACGCGACTTCCAAAAAAAAATAAAATAAAAAGGTGAAAGTCGCGTACATTGTACGCGATTTTCACCTAATCACCTGTCACGTTTACACGAAAATCGTAGGCATTGTACTCGAGTTTTGACTTTTATTTTAACCTAACCTATTTTTATCAATAGTTTTAAAAACCTAACTTACCTGTAAATTTATTTATTTAAATTATATTTACTTTGTAGTTTTTTTTAAACTAACATTATTTTTGTAATTTATTTTTAAAACTAGATTATTTTAAAACTTTCTCCCTAGTTTTCAAAGTTAGCCAAATATAAAAAAAAAAATTAAAATTTGTTTCATCCATGTATTTCTTTATTTTGTTATCTACTCTTTGCAAATGTTTTCAAAATCTAACCTAAAATTTGAAAACAAAAAACAGTTTTTAAAAAAAAGTTTTTGTTATTTAGAATCAACTTATAATTTAAACGTGATTTTAAAGGATGTGAAAAGCATAAAGTATAATTTTTAAAAAACGAAAGGGTTATCAAATAGACCATAGTCTTTTAAAAAATTATTCGTCACACCAACATTGGATAAATTTTCCTAATCTTTGAACTGCAGCACACAATGTTGGTGCATTACTAACAAGCCACAAAAATTGGCCAGCCTTCAAAGTTGAATCAACTGAAAACAAGATTCAGAGTACCAAGAAGAGTCGTAATTCCATCAATTTCAATAACTAAAAAGGGAAACTGAAAGTTGGGAATTTGGTAATAAATAACAAGACAAGAACTCTTCCATATAATCCTTGTTGATTGCGCATCACAAATCATAAACCACTTGAAAGATGAAATTTTTGAGAATTCAAATCATGAAAACCTACTCTTTCCTCTGGACCAGTAGCCTCTAACCTTCTTCAGGAAAGCAGACCCACCCTCCATCCAGTTATTACCTGACTTCAGTTTGAGATATCGTGTGGCTTTTTGCGATTTAATTAAGCATTCTATCGTTACCAAAAGACAGCAGAGAAACCACAAGACCGCAAGAAACTACAACACAAAAGATAATGGAAACTGTTACATCTTTATTCCTCGACTACTTCAGGTCGTGCTCGAACATCGACGCCAGCTCCATCTGCAGGAAAGGTGAAATTGGTCCATTAATACCCAAGAACTTGAATAGATGAACAGTGGAACAAATCTTACGTACAAAAGATACTTATGGTCTAACGTAGTCTAAAATCTAGTACACAAAACACAAACAGAATAACCAAGTTACTGAAACATTATTATTTTAAATGGAAGTGAAGCCAAAATCACTTCCAAACTTGCCTTAATATTTGACAATGAGAGTGATTTAAGAAAATAACAAAAGTGGTTTTGGCATGCACTTAATGATCCCAATAAATGAGTATAATCATCTTGGACTGTGCATGTTCTCCCCTGTATCTACACCATATTATCTTCCTTTCGATCCATACAAAGGAAGATCGTCCAAGGAGTATGGCCCATAGATAAGAACTCAGACATGAAACTTGTTACAATATTGATTCAGTGATATTGGCTTTAAGAATCCTAGATGCAGACACGATACATCCATGGATCCCAGACAAATGAGATGTGGATGAATGTTAGGGTTATGGCATTTTTTACCATGATACGTGCATGCAAATGTATAAAAGTATGAAGCTTAGAAGAAAAAATATAACTAACTCTAAGTATTAATAAAAAAAATTCTCAGTAGTAGGTAAGGAAAATAAAGAGCTATGAGCGAACCACAACCACGACAAGACATGTGGCTGAGGCAAATATGAATCTAAATTGGTCTGGATTTAAGCCACAAGCACTAGTGTGCTGTGTGAGAGAAGAGATGCAAATACAGACCTTCTGACATCATCTACAGGCTTAAAGAAAGCTCAAGAAATTCTCAAGTTTATAGTAATTTATTCCTGATTATATTGGAAGACAAAAATCAAACAGAAACCTTGGTGAGAATTAATGACAGATTGCTGGTTTAACCATCAGATACTTTTGTTTTATTTGAGATAGGAAATGAATTATGGACAACTAAACAAGCTAATCACAATATTTGGCAGGAATATGGTAGGAAACTGTATAGAGTTGCTTTGGTTTTATCTAATGATATCATTTCTGCAGTCTGATGGACATCTTTTTTTCCTTTTTGATCAGAAAAAATCATAGTATTCATCATATTAGAATTCTCCCTATTCCTCTTCAAAATATATTAGCATTTACTATGATGAGCATTGTGAAGATGCTGCAGCCACGTACTACAACTACCATGAAAGCATAAAAGTGAAAGTGTTAAAGAAACATACAATAATCATAGACACTATACGAAAGTAATCCACCATTCTAGCTAGTCAGGACAATCTACATATAGGGTTTAAAAAAGGTACTAGAAGACCCCAAAAGAAACAAGCAAATAGATATATGATAAAGAATAAAAAATGGAATGATGTAATGAGGAATTGTTGAGGAAGGGATAATTCATCAACTGAAATTCTGAAACACAACCTAGCTCTACCATAAACGAACTCTAACAACAACTTACAGCTGTCAAAGCACCCTCAGAACCCTTATTTCCAGATTTACCACCAGCTCGATTGAAAGCCTTCAAGAAAGAAGCAGTAAAAATATATAATCATCAGAAATCATAGCTCCTGTAAAAACAATTCTCTAGGTAGGATATTGCTCAACACTCAGTTTAGATCATATTTACCTGATCTAAGTTGTCACAAGTCAAGACACTAAATACGCACGGAACTCCTACAGAGGCATAAGAAAATGGCTTAGATTTAATCCGGCGTCAGCTAAAAGATGAAAGAGAGGAAATAAAATGGCAACACTGACAATTTTCTGACTCATATAAGTAGTATTACCCTAAATAAATGATTACAGAGATTACTTGTAGTCATCAAACACAAGTTCAACATTGTAGCCTTCAATAAATTTCAACACAGGCTTGCACATATAACAGTGCTTAAAGATAATTTTCATCGCAATTATAAAATAAAAACACGATTCACTATTAAGCAAGCTCCCAACAGCTTAAACGTAAAACCATTCTTGTTCCACATCGAAGTATTACCAAGGCCTATAGTAAAATGCTTTAACAGGGACCTTTCTCCACTGATATATTACCTTTAAAAAAAAATAGATACTTTGAAGAATGACCAAGGTCTTTGACATTTTCACCTTAAATTAATAATGAGAATAGAACTATCATGCGATCGAGGGAGAAATATAGGCTCTAAATGGAGACGTCATTTTCTATTTAGAAAAAAAAGAAAATAAAAAAGAAGCAAGGAATGTGCATATCATGGCACAAGTTATATTTACCTTCATCTACTTATGAATCTACAACAACCAGATTCTCTTTTCCTTTCCATACCCTGAAATTCCTTAGTCCCTCACTTTTCATTGAGATCAAAACTGGAACTATTAAGTCAACTTCACTGCAATTTTTAGCATTTAAAAACCCATACGATTTCAAATATCTCAAAATGAGACGTCCCCAAAATTCTTTAATATATCAATTGGATTCAAAAACCTTAACCACTATGCTCTACCCTTGAGGTTGGACTTATAAAAGCTAGATATGCGATGCAAAAGCAAAATTGGTAAGTAAAAACTTCAACTAACAGGGTTAAAGAACATAAAATTCTAGTAAATCACACAAACAAGAAAACCAACCTGACTTTAGCCCGGCAGAAAGCACTCCAGATGCAGTAGAGTTCACGACGGCATCATAATGAGATGTATCACCTTTAATCTACATAAAGAGGTGGTTGGTAATACTAATAAGTGCACCCGAGACTAAAATATATAAGAGGACTTGACACGTGTAACAGGAAATCATACCACAGCTCCAATGCATAAAATAGCATGGTACTTTCCAGAGTTCCCAAGCCTTTCAGCGACTACAGGAATATCAAAGCTCCCAGGAACCCATACAACCTGATGTCATAGCGAGGTAAATAATGAAGTCAACACGTCAAGGCTCAAGCAAAGTTAAGCTTTGCATACCAATTACTAGATATCAGATACACATTCTGCTAGTCATCTGTCAATCGTATTCTTTCACCCTATTCTATTTAAACCCATTATATATAGTTAAATTTGTTTATTTATATTCTGTGTCATCCACGAGAATCTAGTTTCAGATCATATTTCTTCACAAACTTGCTCAGTTTCCAACATTAGCAAAAAAAGAAAGAAAAAAAAAAGAAGATGCGACTTAACATGTCGTATATTGAAACGCTTACATCAATATCCTCGTCTTGAACTGAATAACTTTTGAATGTAGACAAAGCTCCCTCCAGCATTGGCCTTGTCACAATTTCGTTGAACCGCCCCACAACCTTCATCAGAGCAAAATAAATAAAACTTCAGTATTGAGAAGCCCATCACGGGATTTGCAAACATGAAAGAAATCGATGTTCGTTAAAAAATCTAAAAACAAAAATCAATTCAGACCCCTGACAGCAGAATTCGCTCGGACGGCTGCAGCGAGAAATTTTGGAAGAAGTTTAATCTGATACATCACCACGAATACACGGGCAAATCATCGCAATCCCTAGAATTTCAAATTCTCATCCACAGGTATGTTTCACAGCCAATAAGGCTCTCAGTTGAAGTAACCGAGCCGAGAGATTACTCATAGCCGCAGCCACAAATGTGACCACCACATTCATAACCTTTGAATTCGATGCAAGCATCAAACCAAAAGAACGCTTCTTAATTATGGATACAGGTATGGAAGTGACGAATAATTTCTCAGATGAGACTGCATCATCCAGACGTATGTTTCTCAACTAGACTACAACTATTTATGTAGACGACTGGGAAAAACCACTTCAGACGCCGGCATTTCGTAAATATGGAACAATGAACAAAAATCCATTGGCGTAACCTCAAGAACGAGGAGAACTTCCACATGTCAAAATGTGTGGAGCAAAAGGGGCAGATAACGCTGAAAAATAAAGCGACAAAAACAGAGCGGGAAAGACAGAGGAAAAAGAGAAATTACCACAGCAAAGCGGAGGCCCTCGGCTTTGGAAAGAGAACCGACGATATGGCGGACGGCAGCCGTCTGCGCAAAGGAGGAACGGTGATCGTTCCTCGGAGAGGCATCATTAGAAAGCTTTAATTGGGAGGAAAAAGAGAGGGGTTGTGATTTCGCAGGAGTCGCCCCATGAAATTGAAGTTGAGTGCGATTGAAGTTGGAAGTGGTAAATGCGATCGGCAGATGCTGGCGATGAAGCAAGCCCTGAGCCGGAGAAGCAAATGAAGCGGCCATTAGAGACAAGAAGAAGAAGAAAGAACAGTGGGCGATTCTGCGTCTTCTCGCTTGACTTCCCGAATCAGTGAGACACCTAAATATATACAAATCGTACTCTATGCTCTATGCAAAGGCGCGGCCACGGACTGGCCGTGGGAGGGATTCTTCTACATATTTTAATTGTTTTTAGTTCGAACAATTTTGCATAACCATCTAAGCATTTGCAACCATTCTCGTATCTTCGAATTGTTGTATTAAAAAAAATTAGATAAATAGATGTTCAGATAAGGATTATATAGTGGTGACCACTCGCAATCTTAAAGACAATTAGAAATAGTACACTTGTCCAATAAAAATAGGTTGTAGAACTAAAAATATAAACAAATTTTAGCCACTAAACATCTTCTCCAAAGTCATAATATCTTAAATCTCATTCAAATTATGTTGTGGAAGACTCTTCAATTAATTGAAGTATATGGAAATAATTACTTCCAAAGTTGTCTTATTCTCCACCATGATGGGTACGGAAAGATTAGGCAAATTCTCCAAATCATGCTTGTCACGGATCTCAATACAATTAAGACTGATAGCCTCTCTAGATTCCAAAACGATGTTTGAGCCGATCACCGTTACACCTCCGTCGTTGCCCACCTTTTGTTTTGTCTTCCTTGTCCCTAGACCATAGAAATTCTCTGAACCAATATGCAACCAAGATGAAGAATCATCCCAAGAGATCACAAGCGGGTGCCCTCTCTAATTCTATGTCCGATAATTCTTCAAAACACCTAGATGATGAAGCATGGACCATACATAACAACATTGCTTTTGATTTTCTCAGCCGCAACAATATTATCAACATCCAACAGGAAGATCCTCAACACCTGGCCAACGTGTGTCATCACATAAACCAGCAAGAAATAAAGATCCTCCCTAAAAATCGCCTCCATAACTTGATCCATGCTATTTCTTGAAAAAAATAACGAAAGAACAGGAACAAAATAGAGAATCACTCTTTAAAAAAATCTAGTCGGAGGACTGAAAGAAAACACATACCCTTCATAGAAGAATGATATTTTCGTCCTTCATGTTAAAATATTTATTTTAATCCATGAACTTTATAATGATAGTTACTACTCATTCAATTCTCACCTTAATCAACTTATGTACCTTTGAAATATTTTTTGAGTATACGTGGGATGAGAATTCGAACTCACGACCTTTTACTATATTCAAATTGTTTTGATATATGCCCACATCTACGTGCTAGTACATTTGAAGAAATGATACTCTTAATGCAATAGTTGACAGAAAATAGAAGCAAAGAAGGAGATCTAAAATAAATACTTTAAAAGTTTATGACACCTTAGATTGATTGTTTACTTTTTATATTTTTTTAATTGATACTATTACTAAAAATCTAATAATAGTCAGTAAAAAAATTGACAAATTCTTTATTTTTTATATAGAGTAATATATTATTTTCTAGCTTCTCTTTCATGTTTGTCATAAATTTAGTGATATTCAATAATAAATATATGACACCTAAATACCTAAATATTATACGCAAATGGTCTGGTAACGAGATTTTGAAAAAATAATAATAATAATAATAAGATGCACATCATGATTCATGCATATATTAAATAAGAAAGATAAAATAACGGTAATAAAGAGGTCATATAAATATAAACAAAATTGTGCCAACTTGCACATGAAAGGAAGATCGTTTATTCAATAAAAATAAATTAAATATTGGGTTTATTTATTTATTTAATTAAATAATAGAATGCAGGAAGCAAGCATGGTTCGTAGTGTTTTTGTTTAGAATAATTTGTTATCTTTGGGAGATAGTTGACATTGTAGTAATAAATATGTGAGATCTCGATTCCAATTAATTCTATGCACGTGATATGTTTATGAGTTTCTCCATTATTTATTATTATTATTTTTTTTTTTTTTGGCTAAGTCATTTGAGTCTAAAATTTAGTAGAGTATTCCTATTGTAAAATAACTTATTTACACTTCTATCATTTACTAAAGACAAATTTGAGATGACCTTAATAGGTTGTTCCATCATGTATCATGTATTATAGGTATGTATTTTAGGTTTTAAATGTCGATGTCGAGGGATATTTCTGCAAAAGTTAGAAAAATTAAAATATCATAAAAAATATTTGAATTAATAAAATAACATTTTCCTATTTCTAAATTAGTTAAAAATAATTAACATTAATATTATGCATATATTAGTGACATTTTGTTGATATTTTTCATATTTTGTCGATTTTTTTTTACTATGATGGAAATGTCGATTTATCCCCTCACGTCAATGTCGAATCTATAGAAACATGGATATTTCAATGGAAATGTCGACGCATATTTAGAACCATGATTCTGAGTAGGTTCAAGTATAGTTTGTTGTTAATACATCAATTTTGCCTAATGAAATTCCGCCAAATTCACACCAATCTTCTAGAATAAAGAGATCGACGAGAGTTGCAAAACAGAATAGTACTGAGACCTGTGTGGCTCTGGTCATACTGACTCCGATGCTTAAGTTAGGATTGGAGTAGTTGAGTATAGTGGGTATTGTGAGCGAACCTCTAGGATTTGGCTCACCCCTTTATTTATAAGAGTCGAATCTTCCTTCTTTTAGGAATTATCCAAGTTGAATCCTAGTTTGCTCAAGAGATTTGGACTTCTGGGGCTCGTGCATTTCGTAATGGGCCTAATGCCAAATCTAAGGTCAAGACAAAGTAAATTCAGACTGGGCTACGCAGAGGTCGGGGAGAACCCATTTCAGCCAATGGCCGAGAACACCTCGACGTCGAGAGCTTCTCGGCGGGTTTCRATGCTTACCTGGTTCGTGCACTTCTCCCCCAACCTAATCTCCCCTTCTGTCGTTTGGTCGGCTCCATTTTTATCTCCCATGACAACCGTGAAGTTCTCTACGAAATTTCGTAGAGATCAGGACAAGAATTCTCTGCTTAGTAATGTTTTTTTCTTTTCTTTTTTTGTTTGATAAGAACTTAGTAATGTTATTTGTTTAAAAGTAATTTCTCAATTGCACCGAATTGGGCCAACTAGTAAGCTTACTTAGCTGGACCAACACCTTGAACCTCATGAGGCCCTTGGGACGCCATTTGGTGGGCTAAGTTGCTTGTCGACCCACTTAGTCACTTCTTTAACCTAGGTCTTTTTCTTTTTTTAATTAGCTATCAATTTCTTTAATATAAAAATAGGTGATACAATTTCTTCAATTCTATACATTTAAAATTTTATAGGTAGATATCACTTCTATTTATTAAAAAAGGGAGGAAAAAACTACTATATAGTTATATGTACAAATTCAAATTAGTTATAAATAGGAGGTCTCAACAATAAAAGTATATTTTCCTTATTTTGAGGTGGGATGTTCAAATCCTAACATTTTGATATTTTTTGTATTAAAGGAAAACAAAATCTAAAATAGTTTTGGGAGATATTTTGTACGGTCCTTTAATGAAATTTGAAAATATTTTTCTGAATACAACATGTTTGAGAGGAGATTCGAACTCAAAACATCTTAATTGGAAGTATATGTCAACTACCTCTAAATTGTGCTCGCTTTGGCAGGTTTTGGAAATATTTTTAAAGAGTAGATAACATGGCAACTATTTTTATTTTACATAGATTTTGTTATAAAAAATTATTTTTAATTTTAAATTAAAATTATACTAATCATAAATATGAAAACAAATTACACAAACACATGTTATTAATAAGAATAATGTTGATTTATTATATCAATTATTACTATAGATTTAAATTAATTTTTTAATAAATAACTCAACATCTAAAAAACATAAATAGATGGTCTCAAAATAATAATTAAGTTGGTAAAAAAAAAACAGCAATTTTTTTTTTATAAACGTGCGTTCATGTGTTTCCTTAAAAAGCATTTAATTTTTTCAAGAAAAACTCTGGAGAACACGTGGAACACGTTGTGTTCTTCCACGAAATATAATATAAAGTGTTTTGTCTGTCTTACTTTATTTTGTTTTCGTTTTTTTCCCCTCCGTGACAAAAGACTTCATTTTGTTTGAATATATAATTATCTTTTACCTCCGAATTTGGTAAGTTATACCGAATTTCATCCTAAATTTTTAAATTCATTAAATTGAATGTCTTAGATAAATTTTACAATTTTTATCCTTTATTCAATTTCTACTAATTCACCCAATAATTTTAATCAAAAAATTAAAAAAAACTCACCAATTTAATTAAGGTCAAAAAATACATTTCGTCTCTATACTTTCACTAAAGTAACAAAGTCATTAAATTTTAGTTTATAACGATGTACTTTCACTAAAGTAATAATTTAGTCAATGAACTTTTGCTCGTAACGATTTAGTCTCTGTCCTTTAAAATTTGTAACAATTAATTCCGTAAATTTTTTTTATTAAAATTAAGTGTCAAATTTTATCATTTAACAATTTAATCTTTATAATTTATAAACATATTTGGTCCCTCTTTAGTTTATCGATTTATATATATAAGAAACTTTACAAAAAAAATTTTACGATAAGGACCAAATTGTTACCAACTTTAAATTATAAGGACTAAATTGTTATATATTAAAGTTGAATGACTAAATTGTTACCAATTTGAAAGTGCATAGACTAAATTGTTACAAACTAAAGTTCATGACTAAATTATTACTTCAGTGGAAGTACATTGACCAAAAGTGTTTTTTAACCTTTAATAAAAAATAAAGATTTAAAAAAAATTAAATTTAAATAATGTACGAAATTGACCATTAAATAAGATTGTCACAACTTAAATTAAGTTTTTTTGACCATTAGTTTATGATAATTTAACATTTATAGAATTAGTGTTTAAATAGATGTTGTGCACTGAAATCATTTTAAGAAAATGTAATCCAATGGACAAAAATTTTAGTGAAATTTATTTTTATAAAAAACTATTTTAAGAAAATATATATATTCCAAACTCACTCTTAGCTCACGTCGGTGAGAGCAATCTATCTCCTTACAGTTCTATAATTTTTTTTCAAGGGGCTTTATTCAAAGTTCAAGAAAAATCGTTTACAAATATCTTAATTTCAAGAACTCATAAATGAAATCATCTGTAATGTAAGACATCACAATCTTTTCCGAGTTTTTATATTGTGAAATCGCTCCATAATAACTTCATTATCTATCTCACCAATTAAATATTTCGATATATGCGATAAAACATTCATCAACATCGACACACCCGTTCAAGTAGGCAGAAAGTCCAAGGAAAAAATTTGATAACTTGTAGTAAATTTGTGCAAAAACAAACAGAAAATACTTGGCTCATTAATAATGAGGACCAAATCTTATGCTCACCGTTACCGAAAATTTGATAACTCATTATTTCTACTAAAAAGTCAATGTTTTTACATTTCTCTCTTAATTGTCAAACATCGAAGATAAAGTTGTTTCTTACCGTTAAAAGTCAAGTATTTTTCCAAACAAACAACCGAAACAGTTTAGCCGTATTACTTAATTAGAGAGCAACATAATTGTTTTGGCAAAGTCTTCAATATTTTTATCAGAGCTGCCACCTTCATCCACAGCTTCTTTGGCCAATTTCCTCCACTTGATTGAGTTCTTTTTCTCTCTTCCTTCAATAACCTGTCGGATGGAGGCTTCAAGTTCGTCCTTAGTTGCAATTTCGTGCTTCTCATTTAGCTTCACTCTAACTCCGATTTCCCAAACATCGGCGATGAACTTGGCGTTCGTCGTCTGATCAATCCACTGTGGAACCGCCACCATCGGCACCCCAGAGCTCAAAGCTTCAAGCGTCGAGTTCCAACCGCCGTGAGTCACAAAGCAACCTACGGCCTTGTGAGATAGAACTTCCAGTTGGCTGCACCAGTTCACAACCAAACCTTTGCCTGACGTCTCTTGTATGAAGTTTTCAGGAAGCTTTTCCATTTCTGATTCTCTTAGGACCCATAGGAAAGGGAGGCCAGATTCTGTGAGAAAATTTGTCAATTCCTTCACTTGTTTTTCAGCTAACATAACCAAGCTTCCAAATGAAATGTAAACCACCGAAGCTGTTTCTTTTGAGTCTAGCCACTCCACAGCCCTCCCATCTTCAGGTTTTTGGCGTTTCAAACCATAAGTTTTGTCCTTCTCCAACCGACCATCCAAATACGCTGATGGAACGGTTGGTCCAACGGTCTTGATTGGCCATCTTTCGCCCATCCAATTAACAATCTGATATTCATTATTGAAATCTATGAAACGTGTTAAGGTATCTATATAACAATAATAAGTTTATTGTAATCCATGGAAAACTTATAGTATTAAAGCAAATCCTAAGCCCTGTATGTGTGGAGAAATTTTAACATGACTCATCAGTTTAAGCTTAAAAAAAACCACGGACATATTATAAATGGAATAAAACACTTGTTATATTAAAAATATTAATATAAAAAACAATTAAAAGTTAGAGATCACCGAAATTAACTAACATTAAAGTTAGCTGAGAGAGATAAATTTACCAAACATTCAAGTTAGAGATCATGAATTTACCGAACATTAAAAATTTAGTTGAGAAAAAGAAAATGTAAATCTAAAATGTCATTGAACTTAAAATAGTAATTTCTTTCTTCAGTAATTTCTTTCTTCATTTTCATTGTTTAAGGTTTCAAATTTTGATTTTTCTTTTTAATAATACCTTATTTTAAACTTATTCTAAATATATATCAACCTCATGCTAGTCTTGTCATTTCACAATTTTCAAGTTGGATGACGCATTATTAGCATCATGTGTGTGTTTTTCTTAAATTCTAGCATGTCGTCTTTTCAAACCGATAATATATGTTAAAGTTGTATAATTCTACCATTTTAATGCAGCAGTCTATATTTTAATTTAGAGCTCCTCGGTTCAAGACTCTAATATATCAATTTTTTTCTTTTTTATTCAATAACATATTATATTGAAATTATTTTCTCTTCTAAATAAAGGTTAACTATTAAAATTTATCTTCTTTTCTAAAATAAAATAACTACTAATTCTAAAAATTATTAAGAAAAATATATCGAGGTGTTTTTACTAAATACTTTAATTACTATATTAATATAATTCATTTCATTTACTTGAATGATAGCACTTGTTTCAATAAATATTTTTAATTATTATATTTTTTATAATTAATAGTTGTTTTATTTTAGAAAATAAAATTTCAATAATTAACATTTATTTAAATTTATTACTATAATTAATTACTATATTAATATAATTCATTTCATTTACTTGAATGATAGCACTTGTTTCAATAAATAYTTTTAATTATTATATTTTTTATAATTAATAGTTGTTTTATTTTAGAAAATAAAATTTCAATAATTAACATTTATTTAAATTTATTTAAAAGAGAAATAATTACAATATAATTTATTTTATTTATTTTTTTCAGTGCGAGTAGGTGCGCTAGCTCAAACCACCCCAAAACTATTATCATTGTTACTAAGCGATGGAAAAAAGGCAGGGGAGGAGAGAGAAAAGAAAAGAAACAAGAATTGGGAATATGTGTCATGTATTTGCATTGGCAATCAAAGCAGGAAGTTTCTTTTCTGATCTCTGTAGTCTGTCGTCCCCGCTCTCATTTGAAAATATCGTAATCATCGACATAGTAGCAGGAATTATTTAGGGATACTTATTTAAATTTTTCTTTTTCAAATTTGGATCTGGATTTGAACCTCGACTGATAGATTAATTGGAAGATCCAAAAGGAAACGCATACCTGCGGCTCCAGCTGATCAAACGTGTTGATGAAAATCCATTTGGCATCCTTGAAACTCGAGAATTGTCTGGTCATGAATTCCAGAGTCACTTCTCTGATCACGCTCGGGAAATACGGCAGATCCTCTGCCTCAAGATTCGGCAGCGAAGGAATCGAGACCGCCGCGTTCTCCGGCGCCGGGATGCTCAAGGATCCTTCGTACACCTGATTCAGAATGTGGTTGACGGCGGCAGATTCTGTGAAGAACGGCGCCGCTTCGAGCCCTCGCGATCTGGCCACCTCCATCGCCCACGGCATAACGGAATCGAAAACCATCAGCCGCGGAGGATGATCGCCGTTAATTAGGGCTCCGTCGAGGAACTCTCCAAGCGATCTCGAGACGGCGGCGGCGAAGGCCTCGTGCCTCTGCTTGAGCGTCTCGATGACTTCGGTGTGGAAATCGGAGATGAACCGGAGATGGATTGGATAAGATGGAGGGAGATCGATTTGGAGAGATTCAGTAACAGAGGAAGTAGTGAGAAATGTGACGAGTAGGCCTTTGGAGGCCAATCGCTTCGCGAACTGCAGCATCGGGCTCATGTGGCCGTGCATCGGATAAGCGAACAGCAACACATGACTCGATCTCCTCCCGCCGTTCGCCGTCGCCTTCTCCATCGTCGCCGGCGACTTCTTCTGTAGCTCCTGCCCTTCGTGGAGCTATTAAATAAAGGTGATCGATATCGATGATCGATCACAGGTGTTGACTCTACGGCTAGATATTTGTTAAGAGTCAAGTGGTCCAAAATACTAATGAGAGGGGATTTACTCCAAAGACTATGAAGAAATATATAAATTAAAATATTTGGGTCGAAGTTGTTGGTTAGATATCGTAAATGAATTTCAATCCATCACCACTTTCTGAGTTGGTGAGTAACATTTACCTTATAACAAGAAGATAATTGTTTATTATTCTTTTTTTTTATAATTATTTTATTAAAACTCATATTCTCATCAAAATCTTTCCCGATCTCTTTTGATTTTTTTCCTTAAAAAATTGGTGGGATGATTTCTTCCTTTCCTTCTTGGAGTACTTAACTCCTTTTTTCTCTCTTAAATCTATATTTTCTTTATCAACTTAAAATAAATCTCCACGTATATTTATCCACAATTTAAAGGTATACACGCGTATGTATGTATATTTTACCTTTTTTTCATAGTTTTAAATGATTGCTACGAAGTTGCATAAAATGATATATATATTTTTTTCATCTATTGTTTCATTGTGTGTTTTATTAACTTCTAATTTTAGATGGAGGTTTCTGCAATTTGTTCATAGCCATTTTTTCAAAGAAATGTAATTGAATAAGTTTTAGGACATTGGATTAAAGTTGCTAAACTTTTTTTTCTAACTTTTGCTTTATATGATAAATTATTAATATTACATCAAGTTGAGAAAAGAGGTAGACGAAGATGAGAGAAAAAAAAAGGAGTGAGAATTAGTGGTTGGGAGAGAGAAAAAAGGGAGAAGAATTGTTAAACTAACTAAAAAATAAATAGAAGAGATGGAGGGAGATTTTGATGAGATTATGTGTTTTAATGAAATAATTAAAAAAAAAAACAACAGTCAATTTCTTGATATAGGACTATGTGAAGGTAAGGAATACAATGCTCCTCAATTTTTTAGGATTGAATTAACAATTTCTTGATGGTAAATATATATCAATTAAAGCCGATAAATAACACATTTTGTTTTCCCCATTTATTGAGCTTAATAATGGGTGTCTAATCTTGTTTAGCTTTTAAAAGTATTTTAGTCCTTTTTTTATTTTTCAATTTTTAGTTTCTATTTTAAGTAATTAAAAAAGATGCTGTAGTCTAATGTGTAAAGCCCGAACACGTGAAACACGAGAATGTAAATTAATAAATTAACATACAACTTATACAACCATCATATATAAACACATAAAACTTTTATTGGTATCGGATATCAAAAGGAACTCTAATTTATAATTATATCCATACTTTTTTTTTCTTTTGGGATTAAAAAATTAAATACACAGTTGTTGTTGTAGTTTAATTTAGATGGATACAATTGCTTTGACAAATTATTTACCCAATGTTTACTTAAATAGGGTTAAAAGAAAACTATCTTATCCTATTTTTCTGAAATTAAAGTATAAATCTATTTTATCCTTTTTAAAATTAAAGTATAAAACTATCCTATCATACTTTTAAATTTATTATATATTTATTAAAAATATACTTTATTTGAGGAATAGATTATAAAATAAATAAGAGATAATTAGAAGGGTTTGAACCCAATTAAAAAGAATATGGAAGGTGCTCGGTCGGGAGAAAGCATTAAGAGAAACTTAAAAAAAGAGGAATTTATATGGATAGAGAAGGAGAGATAGAGATAATGAGAAGAAAATTAACGAGAGATGAAATTTTGATGAGGTTGAGAAGAGAATTTTGAGGTATAAGAGAGAAAGTTCATGTGAGACAAAAAAAAAAAAAAAAAGAATTGGGAGGTCGAGTGGGAGAACATCAATGAAACTTCGATAAATACATGATTTTTCATTTTCTCATTTTCAACTAAAATTATTACTATATATACATTGTTCTAAAGCAAATGTTCAGAGCCAAATAACATTCTTCATTTTTTTTATATTACTATATATTCAAATTTCATCTTTGTTTCTTCTGCGTTACTAATTGTTATATCATTATATGTTTTGAATATTACATGAAGTAAAAGTATAAAGTTCATCTTAATGTATCTGTAAGAAATTGGTTTATGACAAACTTTTTTCTTTCTTTTGGCTGAGCGAAATACAACAAAGATAATTCATAGTTGCATTGTTTACGAGAAAATGAAACATTTGGATATGAAATTTGGGCTAACTATATTTAGGTATGGCTTGAAGTTATTGGAAAGATTTTACTTTTTTTTTTTTGAAGTTTTAAGTTTAATTCTAAAGACAACCGCAACAAAATCAATCTCCTAAACCAAGTTAGTTATTAATTGGATGAGAGCTTTCTTGACCTATCGCATTCCTCTCGACAACATCTTCTCAAAATGAACCGCCCTTGAGATTTCAAGTTTGCAATGGTTTATATATATATTTTTTAAATAATTTTTTAGTAATCTTATTTTAATATTTAGTCGTTGAGCGTTTAAGATGTTTGAATTATATTATTGAATTTTAAATTATACTTATATTTTAAAATATCTATCAAATACTATAGTATTTTGTTTATACTATAATATTTGACAGACGTTCTCCTTTCTAAAGTAAAATTAACATTAATATATGATAAAATAAAATTGGAAACAACGTAGAAAGCACGTGGTAGAATACTAATTATATGAAAAGGAAGTCTTCAATCATTTGTATACTTTAATTTCTTTTTTCTAAATTTTATAACTTATCTTTTTAATTTATTTTTCCATTATTATCTTCAAACACAAGTTCTCCTAAAAATGGAGTCACTCCACCAAAGTAGCAAATTTGTTCAATTTTTATATATGTAGTCTCTTGAAGAGACAACATATTATTTTTATTATTATTCTTTTTTTAAAAAAAAAGAGATGTAGTTGTATATCGTTTCTCGACGCCACATAAATAGGTCACTCATGTTGAAGTATACTTGATCGACTCTTTAATAGACAAACTAGTGGTAAAAGTATTTACAAAACATTATTTTTTATTAAGTTTCAAACTAACATGATTTTCAAAATAAACTTAAATATTAGCAATGTTTTTTTTTTTAATGGAAATGTTCAAATGTTCACACTTTCTTATTTGTTGTACTCAATAAAAGCAAAATCCAAAATAGTTCTGGAAGATATTTCGTACGGTCCTGTTTAATAAAATTTCGCTTAGATTTTGAATTCTGTGTTTTTTTCAAGTATGCCAACAATTTTCATTTTAAGCTAATTTTGTTATTGAAAAATATTTTTAATTTTAAATTAAAATTACACTAATCATTGATAAGAAAACAAATTACACAAACACATGTTATTAAAAACGTTAATTTATTATGTTGGGGGCAAATCCTGACCTGCCACGTGTCATGATCGCAAAGGTGAGTTGGTTAAACACGCGAGCGAAATGGAGAAAGCAGCTCCAAAATACACAGGTCGGCAGTCAGGGTAGGACCTCTAGTGCCGGGCCGATCTAATAGAGAGTCCGTAACAATGTCTCTTCCGTACCCGACAACACGCCGTGATTTTAGGGTGTGTCAGACTCCCTGTCGGGCCCAGTTTCTATAAATAGAAACCCTAGCCTTAAATGCAAGGTACGCAATCCTAAGTAGACTCGGCAAGTTAGCTCGGACTAGAA